CAGGATCTCAAAGAGATACCTGCACTCCCATGTTTATTGCAGTATTATTCACAATATCCAAGATATGAAAACAACCTATATGTCCATTGGTGGATGAATGGATAAAGAAAATTTGGTATGTACATACAATGGAATATTATTCAACCTTAAGAGAGAAGGAAAATCTGCCATTTGCAACAACATGAATGGACCTGGAGACCATTATGCCAAGTGAAATAAGCCAGTCACAGAAAGACAAATGCTGTATGATTTCACTTACATATAGAATCTAAAATAGTAAAACTCATAGAAGCAGGGAGTAGAATGGTGGTTTCCAGGGGCTGTGAGGAGAGGAGAAAATGGGGAGGTAATGGTCAAAGTGTACAAAATTTCAGTTATGCAGGATGAATAAGTTCTGAGATCCACTATATAGCATAGTGCCTATAGCTAAAAATACTGTATCACATGCTTAAAATTTTCTAAGAGGGTAGATCTCATGTTAAGTATTCTCACCACATGCGCGCGTGCACACACACACGCAAATGATAATAATATAAAGGGCGTGGGAAGAAACTTTGGAAGGGGTTGGATGCATCTGTGGCCTTGATGGTGGTGATGGTTTCACAGGTGTATACTTATTCCCAAACTCATGGAGTTGTATAAATTACGTACGTACAGCTTTTTACATATCAATCATACCTCAGTAAAGTGGTTAAAAAAATAGCAGCACCCATCTAAATGTGGGACATGGCAGTTTAGCGCGGGGAAGAGTATTTGAATTTCCTATAATAGTCACTAAATAAATGTTAAATCTGAGAAAACATAAAAAATATTTTAAATGACAAAGTCTGTTTTAGAGCTGTGTGAGTGCCTGGTACTTCAGACACATCTTTCCTAATACATCCTTACATTTGAGAACTTAATAAACATTTGAAAAAGATACTTTATACCGATAAAAATTATATTTCTAGTATCCCTCCATAATCCAGTTTTCTTCTTGGAACCATTTCACTGAGCCTGAGGGGAGATGTATCTCTAGATCTGTTTAAGTTCTTCACTTTCTTTTTTGCTAGAGTTGGGGGTATCCTTGGAGTTTGACACAGGGGTGGCCTGGAACTTGCTCCTCCTCTCTGCTGCTGACATTACCAATCTCCCAGGAGCTCAGCTCAAACTTCTGTGTGACTCATCCATCCCTTTCCCATATCCCCTACATCTTGTCAGTTGACAATTCAGTTGATTGACTGTCCTCAGTGTCTCAAATTCATCTTTTATTTCCATTTCTGCTGACCAGATCAGGCCCTTGTGACTTAAACTGGACTGTCGTAAAACCTTTTAAATAATTCCTGTATCCACAGGATTTCTCTACTCTCATCCATCCTACAGAGATAAAAGGCCGAGTTTCCTCCTTTCTGAAATCTAATCACTTAGTCCAGAACAGGAAACATGAAAGGTAGGCGATAAATGTTTGTTAAATGAGTCTTGGCTGTACTGCGTCTCTCTTCCAGAGCCTGTGATGGTTTCCTGTTGCCCACAGGTTGAAACTCTTCTCAGGCTAGCATGACTGAATATCAGTCTTCCTTTCCACCTTATTTCTCACACAATCCAATGACACGCCCTCTTGTGACTACTCACCGTTGGGCTTGTGTTGATTTTCTCCTCCTCCCTTCCTCCAAATCTTTACTTGTCAAAGTCCTACTCCTGTTTTCAGACTGCTCTATTGTCATCTCTGTGAAGCCACCTCTGATTCTTTTCCCACAATAATTGGTCTTCTTTCATGAATGACTTAATAACTCCATTATATCACAGTCTGTCTTTAAGGATAGCTCTTGAGTGGACAGGGTTTCATTCTAAGTGCAATTTTGATCAATTGTTAATGTTGGCCTAAAGCACCTGTATTGAGAAGGTTTTTTTTGATAGAAGGTGCCAAAACAGATTAGATGCCACAGACGGGCACAGGAGAGGAGAGAGAAAAAAGTGCCCATGGAGTAGCCAACTTTGTTATAGATCCCCATGTGTGTGTCTACTCAGCTAGACACACATGCCCGCAAAGACATTTTCTATCCTCATAGTCTCCATCACATTTTGTGTTCAATTGGATGCTTAAACACCCTATTCCCTGTTGTTAAAAGTTTACAATCTAAACTGGAAAATATGACATTTTGAGATATAATGTGATAATGGACAAGAAATATATAAAGTGCTAGTTAAATGGTCCTTGAAGGCTGGATAGGAATACATAGAGAACAAGATGGGGAAGGTGCTGTACATCCAAAATAAATGAAATCAGTTTCTTGGAGATATATCTGCACTCCCACATTTATTACAGCATTATTAACAATAGCCAAGATATGGAAATAACCTAAATGCCTGTCATAGAGGAATGGATAAAGAAAATGTGTTCTATAAATACACACACACACACACACACACACACACATACACACACATACATATACACAAAATGGAATATTATTCAGGCTTTAAAAAGCCAATAAATGTAAGTCCAGTGAAGTCATCTCTTAACTAGGTGTTGAATTCTCAAACAGCAAAAGTGGAAAATCTGGTATAATTAAAATTACCTTTGGAAATTCCTTAATTTGCTCATGTAGTATACATTTTAAAATGTTAAACCAGATGATCTGTAAATTATTTGCTGTAAACTTCAAGAAGCACTGAATAGAGCAGTGAAAGCTACAAAAAATAAAGATATCTGAGCATTCAAACTTTTCTGCCTTTAAGGTACCTGTCAAAACACTAGAAGAGGATGCAAGGTCAGCAGAAAATTTCTACTTTCCTATAGATTTTATTCCATTTTTTAGAAAGTAATAAATCTACATTTAATATTTGTTAGTGGATTTGTTTATTTTGAAACAATGTGTGTGTATATATATATATATATATATATAAAATAGAGCCTCAAGAAAGTCTTAGAACATACTAGGAGCTTAACAAATGTTTGCTGGATTTTAATTTAAATCTTGCTTATTAGTTAAACCCAAATACAAACTGTTCTTTGAAAAGGCATTCAGAAGACATCGATTGGCTTCCTCTTTCCAAGTGGGAATCATCTGTGTGGTCCAGTGAAGAGCTATCACTCTCTTACCATTTATGCTAGTTTCAAGACACTTTACCATAGTGCTGGAAATGTATTTTGAAGAAAGATAATGTTTTTGCCCACGAAACTTGAACATTAGTAACATCCTGTGCTGACTAGGATATGGGAAATAGACACTTGCGCACTTTCAGTAGGAATGTGAACTACTTAAAACTTTTTGGAAAAATTCATCCTGTAAGAGAAATAAAAGCACAAGTTCTTTTGCAGTGGCAAATACTGAAGCCAACTCATATGTTCATCATTAGGAAGATAATTGAAGAAATTATGGGAGTCCCAACACTGTGGAAAATCATGTACCTCAAAAAAAAATAGATCTATGTGTATTGATTAGAAAAGTGCCCATGATATTTTTCTTAAGTTAAATAAATTGTGAAATAATAAGCAAAATGTAATACTTTGCTCAAACAAAAACTGGAAACTCAACCACAGAAAAATTAACCTGTATGTATGTGTATTTGTATAAGACGTTCAAAATGTAGAAGGATATACCCTAAATTGTCAAAATTGGTAATCCCAAGGAGGTGGGGCAGTTGGATGTCTGAGGAAAGTGAAAGAAAATCATTTTACCTTTTACTCCTCTGTTGTTTGAAGGCCTGACCCAAATTCTTGGTTAAAGGAATTAAAAGAAAAGAAAGAAAAAAAGGAATTAAAAGAAAAAGACAACCAGGAGATGTAATGTGGAAATGAAGTGGATGGGATTTGGCAACTATTTGGATGTGGGAAGAGGGAAATGCTTGTAGATTTCTAGCCTGAGTGGCTGGGGGAATGGTGCTATCATTCATAGAAACAGGGATATCATGAAAAAAAAGTGAATTCTTTTTTATTACTACCAGAGGAGAAATGATAAGTTTAGGTTATCAGTCAGAGTTGTGCTGCTTCTTATTTTAAATGATAACTGCTCCCATAGGAAATCTCCTCATCTTGGTCTTCAAACATTAAAAAAAAACTGCTTTCTAGCTGTATTTCATGTAAACTATAGAATTAAAGAGCTGGAATGGTATCTACTATTTTACCTTATCCATGCATATTATTCCAAAACAAAAGTATATTTCTTTTTGAATTGGAAAAAAGCTATAAGGATTTAAAATCACCTCAAACATGTGAAGAAAAGTAAGTTTTCCTGCTGTATTCAACGTGGCAGAAAGTATAATATTACCTGTAAAATGTTCACTCTATGTTTCTCTTATGTTGTTTTAATAATAGTTATTCCTCTTGCTAGTGCATTTATAACTCAATGCCTAGTATATTGTCGCTAAAGATATTCTATAGAGGTAGGCTTGCAAAGATTTTTAGTTCTAGAAATAGCTTGTGCACCTTTAGTCCATAGAAAGCAGCATTAGGAATTTAGCCCTACTGAGAATTTATTTCTTGCAAGTACTGTCAAAATGCTGGTTGAATTTATTTCTGTGTAATTGCATCATATTTTATGTTGGGACTAAAATAGACATGTGTAATCCATCAGTATGAGCCCCTTTGCATGAATAAATGAATCAACAAAGTCACCTGAATAAATCATTTTACTTTTCAACTCAGTTACCCATACCTTTATTCTCCATTCATCACTGATTGTGTTTTTACTTCAGACACTATTTCTTTGTTAGTCTTTCTTCGTTGAATTATGTGGGACTTTCCATGGGAAATGTTTTTCGTATTTTATGTGTTATTCTAATCTGAGTTAAAACATGAATTCCTGTAACTACTGTGTCTTTATTTTGAGTCTAAATAATTTCATGAATTTCAAAACCTTCAGAGAACTGTGTGATTATGATGCTGTGTGAATTCATAAGATGATTTATTATATTGACTAATTCTTGGAGTTTGCATTTAGCTACACATGGTCCCCCATTGGAAGAAATAAAATAGAGATAATAAATTTAATATTTTGTATATTTTTCTTGGTTTTCAGAAAATAAATACTGCTGGAACCAGTAATACAGATGTCCCCTTGGCTGTTCCCGGAATGTACCAATTGGACATTACATTAAGAAGGGGTCAGAGTTTAGCTGCCCGAGATCGAGGAGGTAAGAACATAAGAAAAATGTCACCTGGAAGCTTATTCTCTGTGTTTTTGACAAACTTTGTTTTCCTTGTGGTTTCTTAAGTTAAAAAAAAGTCAACTATAATATCAGTTTCAGAAGTTTCGGTTCAATGATGTGGCTCGAAATATCGTCTGACTCCTGTGACCATAGAGGAAGAGGTTATGATGCAAGTTTGAAAACTCTGAATTGTCCCAACCCAGACAGCAAGGTCCCTACCAAACTGCTGACAAACTAGACTCTACATTATATATAATTAGTGACATAACCAGTTAAGTAGATGAAGCACATTTTTGAAGCCATATCAGAATTCATCTTTTCACAGACCTGAAATACTTTTTGCTACATAGATTTGCTCCATTGAATCCCCTGAAACTGCAGAATCATGGACTAACATCTCACCAAAACTTTGGAGATTCCCAGCAAGTGATTTTCTGAGGCTTGGTTGGACCTGGCAGTAATCTCATGGTGGATTAAACAGGTCTCCGTAGTCCATGATGAAGGAAAAGACAAGGCAAATACTCTTTAGTTCCTGGATTCCATATCACAAGGCAATCTCCTGATGAACTTACCTGGGGTACGTTAATTATTCCTTGAACCCTGGTTAGGGGCAGGACAAAAGATAGACCCTAAGCAGACCGTATAGCATCTTTTGCACGTTTCGAAATAACACTGCTTCGGGATGTGGAGATCTGAGGGCCTACATTCCTAAAGGAAGCTGAATTTGGGTGTAATTCCTCCCACTAAGAAGGAGGAGAGCCCCTGAGCTTCTAACTCATTGTCAGACGACCTGCAGAGTGCTCCTGGAATCACAGGATCTTGTTTTTCTCCTCCCACTTTTTTTGACATCTATACTTAGGCAGGGAAAGGAACCAAATAAGACCATAATTTGTAATTTGTATCTCCTGTCTCTACAAAAATAAACTAGAGAAAATGAGTAACATAACAGTGGGGTTTGTAAGATTAGAGATGATACAAATAATAGATTTAATGTTTAAGTACAAACTAGTAAATATCAGAATATTCTTAATGAATGACGGTATGATTAGAAATGTTAGAATTTAAACACAGGGGGAATTGTCAAGATTAATCATCGGTTTTAGTAGCTGAGGACAAATGTTTATGGAATTGAACTGCTGGTCTCAAAAGAAGTTACAGGTGCTTCCCTGGTGGCGCAGTGGTTGAGAGTCCGCCTGCCGATGCAGGGGACACGGGTTCGTGCCCCGGTCCGGGAGGATCCCGCGTGCCGCGGAGCGGCTGGGCCTGTGAGCCATGGCTGCTGAGCCTGCGCGTCCGGAGCCTGGGCCCCGCAAAAGGAGAGGCCAAAGCGGGGAGAGGCCCGCGTACCGAAAAAAAAAAAAAAAAAAAAAAGAAGTTACAATTAGCTTGGAGGACAAAAATAATACTATTACCATAGTATTATTTCACTGTATTTATAAAACATTTTTTAGTCTTCAGAGCAATCTTAATTACATTACATTACAACATTTGATCTAAAACAGAATTGAACCAGGCATCAGGAGATCAAAATTTTAGTCCTAGATATGTCCTCCCAACAATATTAAATACATATGCACAGAATTATTTATTGCAGAATTTTTTGTAATTATAAAATGCCCATAAATAGAAGAGGTGGTTAAATAAGCCATGGTACACCCACATGATGAAATAATATGCAACTGTAAAGTAAATAAGGAAAATCTTTAGGAATTGATATGGAAAGTGTTACAGGACATATTATTAAGTGAAAAAGCAAAGTGCAAAGGGTATCAACATTATGAAATGTTTTGGGTAAGAAAGAAGGGAGTATAAGGGATTATGCATTATCTGTTCATTTCTACAAAAAGGAATATCAGAAGTAAAATCCGGAAACGAATGAGATCGATAACATAACACAATATCAGTAAGAACAGGTGTCCAGAATGTGGGATAGGAATGGGGTAAAAGGGGTAGGGAGGAAGTCCTATATGCATTGTTGACAAGAATGTCAACAATATACTTGTCACTATACAAGTAAACTTTCTTGTATAGTTCTAACTCTTTAACCATGGCAATATTACAGAAAGAATTGAATGAGTGAATGGAAGGATGGATAGATAGATAGATAGATAGGTTTCTGCATCCTTTTGATATCTATAACCACACCTCAGGGGAATGGGAATAAAACAACTAATCTAAGTGATTAAGTAAAACCATATTTGGGCTATACACTATAAAACTCAAGACAAAAAGAACGATATATAAATAATGTACTTCAGAGAATGATTTTCAATTCTGAAACTACTTACTGCATATGCTAGGAATGAGCAACTAAGTAAGTATATTGTAGATAAGAAGAGTCAGATTTCTTACTGTTGGAGAAAGAGGCCAAAGACCTGGAATGGGGGAAAGCTAGAATACACCTTGTGGTGTTAGAAAGGTATCGGTATGAACTGATGGTTTCTAATATATATACAGATAGATAGCAATTAAGATGGATAGAGATGTGTGTGTGATCTCTCTGCTGAGAGGGCCTAGAAGTCATCACAAAGGTGTAATGACAAAGTAGAAATCCACATACTTTTGGCCCAGATCTTGGTTTCTAAATACAATTCCTCCAGTAAAAGTAAGCAGGGCTCCTGGAGAAATGGTTGATTGCAGATCTGGGGTAGGGACAGTACAAGATAAGCCTGGAACATTTTGCAGTGCCAGAAAATAAGGAAGTACTGAAAAATTGATGTCAGAATGTCAAAATGAAATAGGAGCCAACTTAAAGGAGCTCCTAATGATCAAAACTGGGACAATTTCAGCAGCAAAATAAATAATGGTAATAATGGATTATACCCCATAGAGTAATATAAATATCTATGATTTCATACTGGTAAATACATAATTAAATAAATAAATAGGTGTGAGATAAGGTAAAGCTTTTCCTTATGGTAGAATTCTAATGAACAAATATAGACAGGAAAATAGAAATCACCTTACACCACCATAATAATTATTACAGGGCTTCCCTGGTGGCGCAGTGGTTGAGAGTCCGCCTGCCGATGCAGGGGACACGGGTTCGTGCCCCGGTCCAGGAGGATCCCACATGCCGCGGAGCGGCTGGGCCCGTGAGCCGTGGCCGCTGAGCCTACGCGTCCGGAGCCTGTGCTCTGCAACGGGAGAGGCCACAACATGTGAGAGGCCCGCATACCGCAACAACAAAAAAATTATTACAGGCAAAAATCATCAATTGAGGCTAAAACTATATGTGTAAAATTATGATGTGAAACAGGATATTTGCATCATTTCAAAGTATTTCCCCACGAGATACATATAAATTACAAAGGGGAAAAAAAGTAACTTTACAGTAGAGAAACTTGGAAGACATCCTTTTAACCAAGTGCAAAGTTAACATCAGCAGTAATGAAACAGACAGGTGTGATGACCCTGCTGATACGATGCGCTGAGAAAGGGACATCCTGTGTGGCATTCTTGTCAACAATGCATAAAGTCAATGTCATCATGAGAAAACATCAGGCAAACTCTGGCAACATATGATGCCAGTTACCTGAGCTAAGTAGCATCTGCCCTCTAGGCAGTGCATGCACGGTCTTGTTCCACCATTCCGTGTCTCCACAGTTGTGAGTCTGGATGGCATTGTGTATGCACCACTGTCTTTCTTGTAGTAGCAATTTATTCTCTCCAGATGCCTCTGCCCAAAATAGGAATTTTTTAAACATAAAATGAGAGGGCCGTGTTCTTAAGAAATATGGGAGAGAAAATATTACTTTGTAGAAGTGAAGAATATCCCAAAGTGTTTAAAATGCAAACTCTAATCCAGCTTCCCTGTCTGACTCACATGCCTGGCATTTATGAAGTTTTTAGTTGGTAGATATGAGAGGAGATATATAAACAGAGGAAACAACCTGAGTTAAGTTTGGGATTCATTAACATTTATCATACCCTGAGTTAAGTTGGGGATTGATTAAAATTTACCATAGACCCACCTGTAAATAACAGTTGGTGTTAAGCATATGATTGGATAGAGAGCATTGGGTCCCTTCAGATTTGTGAATTTTATATATCTACAGATATAGATGTAGATATATAGATATATAATTTTGAGGGCCTGAATGGGGATTATGGTTGTGGAACTGGAGAAGGAAATGAAAATGGGAGGGATGGTTTGGAGACTGTCCAGTAGCATCTGAGATCAACTGGGTGAGGGGGGTTCAAAAACCTATTGAGATTTTAAGGCTGCTGATGACTAGGAGCCGTGTGGACTTTGGAAAAAGGTGCATGTAAGCAAAAATATTTGTGTAACTATTAGAATTAGCAGAAATTACACTCTCTTGTCATTTATTACATTGATACCCTCACCTACTGCCTAGCAAAACCAAAATGCCTATGCCTTCCATGTCCCATCTCACCCTTGCACAAAATAATGGAAGGGAAAACTCATTTCCACCATCCCCACCATCGCCAGAAGGTTGTTTGAACTTTGCATCTTCAGAATCTTTATATGTAATAGGCACTGAGGTGGGCTCAACAGGCAAAACTGGCCATCATTCTTCCACTTTTATAACCTGTTTTACAGAACAACCAGGTAGCTTTTTGGAATGCTACTGCCTTTTTCAAAGTTTTATTATACCTGCTTTAAGCAGCCTGATGGACTAGAAAGTACATGACCTTCTAGGGAATCTGACCACATAATTTCAAAGCCAAATTCAACATTTTATTAGCTGTGTGACTTTGAGTGAGCTGTGCAGTCTCTCTGCTGCAATTGTAGGGTTCCAGATTTAGCAAATAAAAAATGCACAATGCCTAGTTAAATTTGAATTTCAGATAACCCATTATCTTTTAATATAAATATATCTCATGAATCTAATCCACAGTATAATGAATATAGATAATAATATTATACTATAATTATGTAATGTGGTAAATATCACTACATTGGCAAACATATTACAGTATATAAGTACATCAAAGTAACATGCTGTACACCTTAAACTTAC